TCCCATCGCACTCGTCTTGTCGCACGGACCACAGATGCCTTGGATCCACACGCCATTGGTCACGACCTCGAGCAGCGTCAAGGCGTAGTCGGCCGGGAGCTGGATCGAACTCGTGATGGCGCTAGTAGCCAAGAACACCGCTTCGTCCTCGAATATCTCAAGGTGGGTGGTCGGGAGCAAGATCTCCATGGGTGCCGTGTTGGGGAGCCATTGCAACACCGTTGTCGTCACCGTCGCCGACGATGCACTATGGGTTGTCGACGTTGCCGTCACTTCGACGGTCGTCCACCCAAAGAAGCCGTCCGCAACCGTCATGTTCACTTGCATCGAGCCCGACATGACACCGCCCAGTCCCGGCCACAGCTCGTACAAACATACGTCCGTCACGGTGTCGGTGTCGGCGTCGATCATGACCGGTTCCTTGTCGCTCGTAACCACGACCGAGGCAACGCCCGAGCAGTTCCATACGCGCATACGCACGGCCAGTGATTCGGATGCGCTGACGCCGGTCGCCGTCACGTTCAACACAGCAGGCGTCGCGTATGCCACCGACCGGTTGGAGACGGCCACCGCCAACACTGGTGGTTCAGTGACGATGGTAATGTCCAGTGTCAAATTGCGTTGATACAGTTGGGTGGCATTGGTGATGGAAGATGTCGTCATCATCTGCACCGTCAACTCGACGGGCAAATCGGTGGGGCGACTTGGTAGCATACCGAACCACGTCGAGGTCGTCGATAGGACGTATGCTGGCGTCCAGACGGCGAGCGCGGGAAAGCCATCGTCAACCGAGCAATTGGTGCAGACTGTCTGCAGCTGCTGGTTGGTGACGACGCGTGCGGCCGTCACAGAGTACGTGTCGTCGGGCAACGCAAACACTTCTTCAATGCGCTGCGTGTCGAACATCAGAGCCTCGTCACTGAAGACCGAGAGGACCGAGCTCGGGAGCTCAATTATGTCGATAGTGGCGGCGCGGGCCACGAGGGCGGCGCCGAGCAGCAGGAGCGCTTGCACGAAGCCCATACCACGTCGCCTTGGAGGCATCGTTCCGAATCTTGCAACTGCACAAAAATGCGTGGGATATATGGAACATCAAAAAGTCGAACATCGAAGGATATGGCCAAAGCTAGATAGATATCCCCTGTCGGCCTCGTAGAGAAGGCATGCCTTGGGCAGAAGGCTGCGTCGTGTCAACTTACTTCTTTGTCGCTAGCGACTGCGTTCTCGTCGCGATCTGGCCGCGCTGTGCTCTGCAATGACGTGGCGCGCCAAGTGCATCCTGTGTTTGCTGGCCAATCAAAATGTGCCATTCATAAATTCTATGGATGGCAGGTTTTGATTGGCCAGCAAGTACATTTGAGCCACGCACTCTCTTCTAGGCAGCTAATCGCACGCCATTTTAGTGTAAACATCCGGCGCTATCAAGAAACGCCCTGCCTTATAGTTGCGTGCAGCAAGTCCACCAAGGCGATGATTACCAAATGTTAGGCTACAGACAATATGTGTTTGCGTGGCGGAGGCTGGAAGCATCTACGAGCCAAAAGCTGCGTCGCTCTCTTCAATGCGACGGAACTCGTAGGCCCCACGACCGTCAAACTGACATCGTACGTCAGCACCACGCGCAAATATATATGCTCGACATGTCGTACCTTGAGCACGTAGTCGTGGTAGCTCCAGAGCGACTTGCGGTGCGAGACCGTGAAGAGCGTGATGCCTTGGCTCTTGCAGTAGTCGTACATCAGACCCTCGACGTCGACGCTGACGGCCGACGTGCACTCGTCCAAAATTGCAAACTGCGGCGCGTGGTAAAAGAGACGGGCCATGGCCACGCGCTGCTTCTCGCCGCCGCTAAGGACGTCCGACCAATCCTTGACGACGCCCCACGGATCCTCTTGGTCTAGACCAATCATACACACATGAGAACGCACGAAATACAAAAGTCGATACCGTCGTCGCGCGTGACAAGATACTCGAGCTGCACAAGCTTGAGAAGCTCGAGCAAGTCGTCGTCCGACTTCTTGGCCGCCTCCATGCCTTCGAGCGTGTCCGGGTAAATGATCTGGTCACGGAGACTCCCTACTCGCAATGGCTCGCTAGCATCGCACAAAAGGACGCGACGACGA